GAAGAAAATCAAAAAATAAAACTATTAATTTTCAGAGAAAACTTTAGAACACATGGCACATATGTGAAACTAAAAGAATCCAAGCAGACACGGTGGTCATTAAAAAAAGAATAAGTCTAGCTTTTGGCAGTTCTACCTTTTGTTAAGGTAACTGAAATACTGTAGAATGTTCTATTACTTTCTAGTTTAAAATGAACTTTTGGCACTAGCAAAGCCAACAGAGTAGTTTGTGTGTACTGCCATATTAAAAACAAATAAACAACAACAAAAAACCTTAGTGTTTTCTCTTTACTTCATAAGAAATACAAGGATAGCCAGGCACAGAGGCTCATGCCTGTAATGTCAACACTTTGAAAGGCTGAGGCAGGAGGGTTGCTGGAGCCCAGGAGTTCAATACCAGCCTGGGGAAATTGCTGAGACTCTGTCTCTACAAAAAATAAATAATTAGCTGGGCATGGTGGCACACCCTGTAGTTTTAGCTACTCAGGAGGCTGAGGCAGAAGGATTGTTTTAGCCCAGGAGGTCAAGTTTGCAGTGAGCTATGATCATAGCACTGCACTCCAGCCTGGGTAACAGACCGAGACCCCATCTCAAAAAAAAGAAACAAATACAAGGATATCTTCATATTTTTCCAATAAGGATATTTTACCCTTCTGGACTAACAATACCACAATCTCATAAAAGGAAACAAATTACCCATGTCTTTATTACCTTTCTAAATAGTGTCTTATTTGTCATTAACAACTCCCTAATATTTGATGCTACCATACTTCTGAATTAAAATCATTTATGTTCATGTTAATGATTTGCTACTGTAAGATCCTGACAGCTTTAAATTAAAAACAACTAAAAAAGATTCAATGTTGCTTTAGATTCATAATTCTGAAAATCAGTAGTTCATCCATGTAGAGAAAGCCATCTAGTAATCAGAAAGCTTCCGTAACATCAAGACTCTACAGCTGGTACATACTAAGTGTTCAATAAATGTAGGGTACCATTGCCATTATTCACAACAATGCCAGAAAATAATATTATTCCAAATTATCGGCTAGGATTGGCTTTTATAGCAACTAAAAGGCACTAAGTGTGAAGGGGCAGCCTGTCACTTAATAGATTAATATTCTGAGTTCTTTCACAAGTAAACCATAAATCATTACCTTAAACTTCCTGACCATCATTTTAACATCCATGTCATTCCATGTGTTCAGTTAGGTTCAAACTGAGTCATCCTACCCAATCCTCTCCCATTACCAGCTTCCCTTTAAACCTTTTCTTTATAACTCCGGATACCGTGGCAGCACTAGGAACTAACCCAAGCTCGCTGGTGCATACAGCTGTTCAGTCCTTGAGCTGGGCTCAACTAGCACGGTAGTCTAGCAAACTGATGGTGTGAGAGGCCCATGTGTCCCTCCTCTGCAGAGACAGCCAAGGGGAGGGGTCCACCACATCACAGGAATCATTCTCTCCCTGTCTTCATCAGAAAGGGCACTGGGCTAGGAATGAGGACTCACAGATTCTAATCCCAGGTTTTTTTAATAACATACTAGATCCAAGGTATGACAACACCTGCTACCCCTGATCTTCTAGAAAGCTGAAATTGAAGGTAATTTCTAGATTTAAAATTCTTTGAGCATTTCCTTAAATCAGATTGCACAATTAAGTTTATGGTTTGTTTTTTAGAGAGCCCTTTTGACTGACTGGAGGAAAATGAATTGAACTTGAATAATGACTGTAAAACAGGAAGAATTTCTCTTATTTTTTCAGCAGATATCAAATAGGAAGTCAAGGTCAATTTTATCTTATGAGAGTTGTGTTACAGGAGATCACAAACTGAGTGAGGCATTACGAAGTACAATGCCACACTACAGCTAAAGGCTCTAAGTCAGGGCTGCCATGCCACAGCTTAAGTCTCTAAGTCAGGGCTGTCTAGGTTCTGACGTGGCTTTTTAAAATAACATTTTCAAAACAAATAATTATGAAGTGATCAGTGTGGCCAAGATCATTCCACCAATCCCTTTGTGGACATCTTTGTCTCCTATTGCCTCAATCCTGAATCTTGTTTCCTGTTGCCTCAGTCCCCCACCCTTGATCGTGAATCTTGACAAATTAGGATAAATACACTCTATGGTCTCCCAATCATTTATGATTGATTGGCTTTGGGACTTAAAGTCATCTTGCTAATCCTGGCTGATGTACAGCCAACACCTGGTGAAACGAACACACGTACTCAAATTAGCCCATCACCTACAGGGCTATCTCTAGGACAAAAAAAAAAAAGCAAAAGATTAGTCCATTTACTATGATGTCTTTACATATTTGTAAAGAATCAGGGCCAGAATACAGGGTGGAAAAACTCCCAAAGAGGAAGAAAGCATAAGGGGGGAAATCTACTTATGCAAATTTTAAAGAGATCTATAAAACTACAATCTGAGAATTTTATTATTAAGCTAAGCCTCTTAGTATAGAAATACCCAAAACTCTCCAACTGGGCAGCTAATTGAGGGTTAGAAAGTGCCAAAAAGACTTCCTTCCTTCCCTCCTCATTCACACAGGCAATATAGAATCCCTTGCTCCATATGATAATGTGACTTTTGTCAATGCATGTTCAAATCAGATCAAGGATTGGCTGGTGATGATGTCATATCCAAGGGTTAATCCCCAGTGAATGCAGTTTTAATATCATATGCATCAACACACCATTTACATAGCAAAGTATTATATTAAGTGTAACAATAAATGAGCGGTGCAGATAAAAGCAGCTACTAGGAAAAGGCTACCTGCCACTGAAAAGGAGGTGGCAGCAGGTAGCAAAGGAGTTTCTATTTCTTTAATTACTAAATAGAACTAGGCCATCAAACAATATACATATCTTAAAAGATCAGAAAATGAATATTGAAATTCAAGTGACCCAGAACGTTCTAGAACTGGAGATATAAAAAAGTTTGCCTTCAATGAAAAATACCCAATAATCAAGCAGAGATATTTGTAGGGATTTTTGTGTGTGCGCTAAGGGAACAAGCAATGCAATTAAAGTCATTCAAAGATAGATCAATTGGCAGCCACTGCTTTTCTGGAGAGGGCAACTGTCTTATCTTTAGCAGGGAAAACTGGCCAAGTCAAATTGTGACTTGAAGGCTTTCATAAATTTTGAAGTGCCAAATGGCAGTTAAGATGGTACTGAGGGAAGAAAGCAGAGTCATGCAAAGCAGAACAATGAGACAGAAGAACTTAAGAAGGAAACCTTGAAATATGGCTTTCTGCTATGAGAATATTGATCAAGAAATGTCCATACATATGAAGAAAGCTTTTTGCACAAATGAGCCATGCCAACTCACTCGGTCATTTTAGGAGGACATAAGTCATCATTAGTCATAATGATTCTGAAAACTGCTTTCACACTACCTGATTAAGGCCTGTATTTCCAATGTAAAGGAAGTGTTGGGCTTTCACACTGATATATGACTATAAACTTAGCAGAAATTCTTCTCACTGTAAAACCCACAGCGGGCTATTGAAGAATTCTTCAAGTCATACATTTGTTCTCAGTGATTGATTGGAAACACTAATTGTATTGCAAAATGGCTGTTCCTAAATTATTTTAGCCTTAAAAAAAAATCCAAGCCCTTCCTGAACTGGACTCAGACACAAAGAAACTGCCCCACCTCTTCCCTCCTTAGCGAGTGTTCTAGAGGGGGCCAAACTAAGATGTATGTGATTAGAAAGCGAGGCCATCAGTGTGTACAAGTTTGGGTGTCTGAGTCTGCAGGTGGCAGCTCCGGGTTGTGGTGGACAAGCTTTATGCCAAGGATACTAGAGAAAGAAACACACCAAGGCTTCGAACTCACCCATCCTCACACAGGGAGATCGCCTGTCACATCGCATCAACCTTGCTTGTCTCAGAGGGAAGACCATCGAAAAGTTAAAAGCGGAAAGAGTTCAGGGATAAACACGTTTCACCAAAGGGGGTCCCTGAAGCTCGGCGAGGGGGGATGGGCACCAGGCTAGGTCTCGGCGAGTCCGTGAACCCGTGCATATACATACTGCTTAGCAGCTGATTCATAGCTTGACTAAGGCGCCGTGGAGCCGCCAGACGTTCAATGATGCTGATTCAAGAAGAAAGCGCACCAGCGGCCCTGTATCTAGCTTGAGCAGCTTCCCCAGGTGTAGGAGATCAAGCTTTCCAGTTCAAATTCTCCCCCGAGCTCCTTCCTTAGGGTCAAAGATGCCCTCTCTTCTAGGAGCAGATTGACAGGGCAAAGAGGGGAAAGGAGCCAAAGAAAGGTAGAGATGCCCCTTTGGTGGGCAAATCTTAGATGCCTCGCGCGGAAAGAGACTCAACTTCCAGACCCGCTCCAGTTCTCCATTTGGGCGGGAAGCTTTGCGCTCCCAGCTGAAAAAGGCGTCCCGAGCGTTCATGGAGCCCTTCCAGCAAGATCCTCGCAACCGGAGCTTCGTGGGGGGGCGGGGGGTGGGTAACGCTGACCTGTTCCCACCTGCTGGCTCTTAAAAGGATCCTAGCTCAGATTAAAGAGATGAAGCGCTAAGGTTGGCTGGTCCAGAAAAGAGCTCAAGCCGCGTTCACCACCCCCTCCTCGTACCAATTAGTCGAGTGGCCTCCTCCGCACCCGCAGAGCACGCCCGGGGGTTCTGACTGTCAGACACAAACCCCAAAACTGGAAGCGGCCGCTGCCCCTCTCCAGCCACACGTCCGTACTTCGGAGCGCAGCTTCCAACTTCGGGTTGCAAGCCGACCTCAGCACAGGCAGCCGTCCCAGCGCCCCACAGAGCCGGGACGAGCGGAGCCGCACAAAGCAGAGTTAAGTCGGTACCAGCCCACGAGACAGCACCTAAATACAGGGTCCAAATCCACCCCCACCCCATCCTCTCGCCCCTCCTTATCCAGTCCAATCCTTCTTACTGGTCTAGAGCCGGCAGCCAGGTCGGACCCGCGCGTCCGCAACTAGGCACCGATCGCCCCGCCGGAGCCCAAGGACGCTCACCTTGCCGCCTTCCCGCGGGCCCCGCCGGGAGCGGCCCATCACCTCCGCAGCGTCTCCAAAAGGAAAGTTCCCACGCCTCTCCCAAGAGAAGCCCGAAGGTGCCGCGGAAGAAGCAGTGACTGCGAAGAGGCGGCTGATGCTGGACTCCCGACGTTCGACAGCAGCCGCGCGCGCAGTCGGCGCGCCACGTCCAGGGCTGCGCGCTGCTAGCAGAGCAGAGCCAAGCCCAGCTAGCGCGCTGGCCAGGAGGGGCCGGGCCCGCCGCGGGCCGCGCTGATTGGCAGGGCCGGTCGGCTGCTCCTGCCCCTGCCTGGCCCCGCGGTCCACGTGGGCCGGCCCTCTCCCGCCCCGCACCCCTGCTCTGCCGGCACGCCCCCACTGCCGGCCTCCTGGCGCCTCTCCCGAGCGCCTCGCTGTGGCCACCACTCCGCAGGTGATGAGCAAAAGGTATTCTTCCTGAATACCTGAGAGTCGCTTTGAGCTCAGCATAAGGGAGAGGAATTCAGAGTTCGGCTCCCAGTCAAAACCGTTCCCCACGCAGGACCCAAAGCAGTTTGAAAGCAGGATTTCCCAGCCACCCTGTGCTGTAGCACATTCATGAACTAATCTGGCTTTGCGTGTAATGTGGTTGTATGAGAGAGGAGAAAACTCGGTCCACATGTCAATACCTGAATACATTTCTTATTTTAAAATGTATAAAAATACAACTAAGACTTCTCTGACTCCCTCCTCCCACCCCACCCCCAGCCATGCCCTCCACTCTTCCGCAAGTGAAAGTAACTGATCATCAGTGACACTTAATGGTATTCATTTTACTGGGATTACTTCATCTGATCTCCATTTTATAGATGAGAAAACTGAAGCACAGAGAAGTTAAATCGTCTACTGAAGATTATGCAGGTAATTACTATATCCATGCTCTTTAGTTTTCAAAGCATGGATCCGTAGAGCCGTCCCCTTAAAACACTTTAGAACTGCAGATTTTCAGGCCCCACCCAGAAGCAGAATCTTCATTTTAACAAGATCCCCAAGTGGCTGGTACATGCATAAAGTTGGAAAGTGTTGCTCTGTACCACTACGCTGTTCACTCTCATTGGCTTGGCTTATCATCTGGACCTTTTACTCTGCATTGACCTATAATTATGTGCCATTCTGCTCCCGCTACACTCCAAAGTATAGTTGCCCTTCTCTGAATCTACCCCTTGAACTAACCTATGGCAGGCCTTCTGCTTCTGTTCCCCATACTACATATACCATGGCACATTTTACTTGTTAAACAGTTTCAATCTCTTACTCTCTTATTATTAAAATGGGGTTCTACATTCAAAGGCAATTTGTTATCAAGATGTCACTGATTTAAGACAGAATTCAAGCTTTGGAGATAGGGGCTTGATCTTTGAGATTTTCTTGAAAGAGTAGCATTGAAATTCTGTGACTGTCAAGGGGAGATCCAAGCAAAACCTGAAATAACACGCCAGGAGATTCCAGAGCTCTTTCTCAATAGTACTCATTCATTCATTCACTCAATAAAACTGAGGGCCTACTCTGTGTCAGGCACTGTAACAAGTGCTGGTACATACAGAAGGAAACACAGCAGTAAAAGCTCCTGAGTTCATGGAACTTACCTTCTAGTAGGGAGAGATGGGCAATTAACATGACAAGTAAGTGAATTACAGAGTTTGGTCGAAGGTGGTCAGTGTTACAGAGAGGGAAAAAAAAGTAAGAGAAAAGGAGATGAGTACTGGGGAGATGGTGTTTTTAAGAATAGTAATTAGTCTAGTAGGTAATATCTGAGAAGGTAATATCTGAACCAAGACTTGGAAGAGATTAGGGAGCAAGTCATTTAAAAGAACAAGTTTATATTCATTCATTCACCAAATACTTGTTGCTTCCACACTGTGTGACAAGCATGGTTCTGACATAGACCTGTGTGTTTACTTAAGTCCTGTTTTTCATATCTCCAATTTTCCTACACTGGGGGTTTCTTGTCCTGGTGGGAAAAAACAAAAGCATAAGCAATTATGTGTGGCTCAACCTAATACCATGTTTTTCCATCCTGGATGTTCAGTATTGTTAGGGGTTCAATTTTGTCTCCCTGAAATTTATATGTTTGTCTTAACCCCCAGTACCACAGAATGTGACATTATTTGGAGATACAGTCTTAATAGAATTAAATTAAATGAGGTCTTTAGAATGAGCCGGAATACAGTATGACTGTGACCTTATAAAAAGGGGAAATTTGGAGACAGACGTGCACACAGGGAGACCACCATGTAAAAACTCAGGGCAGAGATGGAGCGATGCTTCCACAAGTCATGAAACACCAAAGATTACCAGAAAACCATCTAAAGAGGAGAGAGGCATAGAATGATGTTTTGCAGCCCTCAGAAGGAGCCCTGCCAACACCATGACCTTGGACTCCTAGCCTCCAGAACTGTGAGACAAGAAATTTCTGTTGTTTAAGCCACCTAGTTTGTGGTATTTAAATGGTAGCCCTAGCAAATTCATACAGCCATACAAGTGTGTTTGTTTCTGAAGATGGTACAGTTAAGGGACTCATCTGTAAGTTTCCAATGACCTGATGTCTCTTGTGCAGTAGCGAGAAGCCAGAATGATCTGATGAATTGAGATTTAGTAACCAAATCACCACAAAAAAAGGCAAACTATATTAAAAAAATAGCCAGTGAGCCCCAGTTACCCAATTGTTTCCTCATTCAGCTATTTATCAAGTGCCCACTGTGAGCCAGGCTCTGGGATAAGGTGACAAACAAGGCACATGTGACTTGTGTGTATTGTTGTGGGGAAAGCTGGACAGTAAACAATTCCATAAATATGTGAATAAAGTAATTTCAGAGCAGAATAAGTGCTAAAAATAAATAAAAGAAGCCTAGGGCATTAGAAGGATATGAGGATAGGTTTATTTTAGACTGGCTGCCTAGGGAAGGTCCCTATGAGGTAGTGACATTTGAGTCAAGGCCTAACCGACAAAAAGCCATCCAAGTGAATATCTGGGCAAAAATTGTTCCAGGCAGAGATAGCAGTTCCTCTTATAAGAAAATGTTCCTGTCATTCATTCTGTAACATTCTTTCTCTCTTTGCAACCCATTTTGCATCCTTTGAGGTTGTATAAAATCAATGTACATCTGTTTCCTAAAAATGAGGTCAAATTATTTATTTTCTTATATAAGAACCTATGAAGGTCACACCAACAGGGTTTGCATGCACCACTCATTCACAAAACACCCCTTGACGTGCATCTGTATTTGTAGGAAGTGACACCACGTGACTTGGACATTGTGTTTACTTTCCTCATTTGTATAACGTCCAGAACACTACTGGCATGTCCTGGTGCTGAATCAATACGTGCTGATGCCTGACTATCCCTGAAAGGAACATTCTGACTCTCCTGGGCCTGTTTATAAAATCCTCATTGCCAGCGAAGCTTCAGTTTTAAAATTTTGCAATATAGTTTTGCACTTTGTAATTTTTCTGAGGAGGCTAATAAGAATGATAGCTAACTTATTTGGAGGCTTGTGTGTGGCTCACTATGCTACCTACTTCACACGGATTATCTTTATAATCCATTTGATTAAAAGGTAAATACAAGGTAAATTCTCTTATTATAATCTCCATGTTACAGATGAGAAAGCAGGTGCTCAAAAAAGGCCAGGGTTGAAACCACTATTTTTTTTATTGCATTTTAGGTTTTGGGGTACATGTGAAGAACATGCAAGATTGTTGCCTAGGTACACACATGGCAGTGTGATTTGCTGCCTTCCTCCCCATCACCTATATCTGGCATTTCTCCCCATGCTATCTCTCCCCAACTCCCCACCCCCCCCCGTCCCTCCCCTATTTCCCCCCAACAGACCCCAGTATGTAGTGCTGCCCTCCCTGTGTCCATATGTTCTCATTGTTCAACACCCACCTATAAGTGAGAACATGTGGTGTTTGATTTTCTGCTCTTGTGTCAGTTTGCTGAGAATGATGGTGAAACCACTATTAAATGGCCGACTTATGCCTTGAAACAGTCTCTCTTACTGTCAGCTCTTACTGTCACTGCTTGAGTGGTTGAACATTGAAACAAGTGAAGAAAGAGCAGAGAAAAAGCAAAAAGCATCTATCTGGGTACACATGGACACGCAGTGTAGAATAATAGGCCTCGAAGACTACAAAATGTGGGAGCGTGGGAGCAAGGTGAGGGCTAAAAACTTCCCTGTTGGGTGCAGTGTTCACTATTCCACACAACACATGCGTGTAAGAAACCTGCCCTCGTGCCTCCTAAATATATAAAAATAAATGTAAATGTTTTTAAAAAGCATCTGTCTATTCCTTTACATTTGTCTTTGAAATTTTCAAAGCACCGTTTTCTAACATTTTTTATTTACCCAGCCTTCTAGCTTTCAAGTACACTTTTCTAGCCAGATATTTGCTTTGCCTTCCCTTGCTTCAAACTAGGAACTGCTGAGACTTTATAAATGAAACAACTGAGATATATATATATATATATGGGAGAGAGAGAGAGAGAGTTTTGTTTTCAGCCTGTCTGTTCTTCAACACCCTCTAAGGAAATGTAAGTCAAGCTTTTTAGAGCTCCGCCTACTATGACAGACATCATATCTCATACGTTGACAGTGCCCCAACACTAAGGGGTCCCTCCCCTTACTCAAATAGTAAAGAACATCACGTCCCTTGCCAGACCAAATGCTGTACGCAATTTTGCAATGCCAGCTCAGGCCCTCTTTACACAGATACTAATAGATCCTCCTGCCTGAGAGTGAACATCTAATAATGGCTTCAGCCAGTCTTTGTGAATAACTTTCTATTCTTGTGGCTTCCCCACAGTCCTGGTCAGGGAAAAAGCCCAGAGAACTTGCAACAGTGAAAAGATGTGAGACTTCTCTCATTGCATCCTGGATTCCCCCACCTTGCTCAGGAAGTGGGTAGCCGTTTTAGCAGTTAAATGACTTCCTGCCTTGGATGGCTTGGTCAGACTTGTTTTAGAATTCTGGAACTCAGACAAGGTGTCTGCTATATGCTTTGGAAGGCTCAGGTGGGTTTCACTATCATTCCCTTTGCTGACCACAACTGCTTCAATAATCTACGCCCTGGAAAAGATCAGCACTTCAGGGCAAATTAGCATGAGAAAGATTTATGAAACCACAATAGGAGGGCACTTTAAGAAATCATACAAGAGCTGTTGCACAAAGCTATACAAGCTAGGTTCCAAGCAAGACCAACGCCAGATAGAATCATCAAAGAAATAATGCTCCTTTTGGTACCGTCT